TGAAACTTTATGAACATGAACGGTGATCTTTTTTTCGATGCTTGAAACATCCATGACCTTTTTTTCGATGCTTGAAACATTCATGACCTTTTTTTCGATGTTTGAAACTTCCATGACCTTTTTTGGATCCGTGACATAACTTGAACGTTTCGAACTCGGTACATCGAAATTCGGTTCAACAACAATCTCACCGATGCTCAATAAAATCCTTTTATCTAAAAGACCAGATAATAACATATCTTTTGCTTTTGATCGTTGAAGTTTACCACTTGTCGTCTTTGGAATGCTATGCTGCTTAAGAATAACAATTTTTTGAGGTGATAGTCCATGTTTTCCAGGAACAGTTCGAGCAATTTCGTCAATTATGAATTGTAGGAATTCCGACTTAATGTCTTTTTGATTGCGAATTTCTGCGAGGATTATAAGTGAATCTGTACCAGTTTCTGCATCAGAATGATGAAGTGCTGCAACGCATCCTGGTCTTATTTCATTATGACATTCTTGAACAGAAATTTCAATATCTTGTGGATAATGATTCTTGCCATTAATTATAATAACATCTTTTTCCTATAAGATTTTAACATTATAATTTGACATTAGTAAAGAATATTTATGATAATTATTATATAACCAAATAATCACAAAATAATAGTTACTCTTCCAGTTATGAAAAGTTCTCCATTATACATGAATCCAAGGTCTCCTGTTCTCAGGAAACATCCATTATCGATTATCCAATTGCCGTGGTCACTATTATTCAATTTTGCTCTAAATGTATCTTCTGATATTTCTTCTTTTCCGAAATAACCTTTACCAACACTTGGGCTAGAAAGCCAGACTTCTCCTACAGTACAAGGTGAACAGAGTTGTCTCGTTTCCCGATCCACGATTCTAACTTCGACTTGCATGGCCGGACTAGGTACGCCGGTTGAAACTATATTATTTGGATTTTCGGATTTCGACCTAACAATCACGTGACCTTGTCGTAAAACTTGCGGATCGATATCAAGTACAGTGGGAACATCATATAGATTTTGGAAGCCGACCGAGTAGGCACAATGTTCAGCTAAACCGTATAAGCACTTAAACATTGAAAGTTTAAATCCTGCCGGACCAAACTTTCTAGCAAATAATCGAAGTGTTGACCAACGAACCGGTTCTGCACCATTGAACGCACCTCGAAGAGAACTTAAGTTTAGCGAAGCGACCGATTTTTCGTCACATTTTCGTGTTGCTAATTCGTAGGCAAAGTTTGGTGCCGCAGTATAAGTGGCGTTATATTTGGTAATCTATGTTAATAATAATTAAATTAAATTAATTAAATTAATTACATAAAAATGTATATATATATATACAGTATATATATTTATGATAAATTTGATAAAAGGTAAATTATTTACCATTTGAAGCCAACATTCAGGTTTTTGCAAGAACGTCAAAGGTGACATAACGCATGATTGACAAGCACCTCGAACGGTATTAAGGAATCCACCAATAAGTCCAAGATCATGAAATTGAGGTACCCAAAAAGCGATCATAGAATCTTCATTTAAACCAATTTCATGTTGCATAAGATCCACGTTATGAAGTAAATTCTTATGAGTGAGCATAACACCTTTTGGATCACCAGTGCTACCGGACGAAAATTGAATTACAGCAACGTTTTCACAATCAACTTCTTCGATTAATTTCTCATCAAAAAGATCTTTTGAACTTGTAACTTTTTCCCCTTCAACCCATATTAACCCTTCTGGCCAATCTATTTTATTGGCCATTCCAAAAAAACTTTTTGCCGCATAAAGTTTCGTGTATAACATATAATTTTTGTCACTAAATACAATTTTTGCATTTGTGGTTTTCGAAAGATATTTAAATCTTGCTATATCTTTATCAGCAGTTGCAAGATTTGGAGGAGCTATAGGTACAGCTGTTATACCGGCTATCATACATCCAAAAAGAATCGGAAGGAATTTTAGACCAGGAGCATAACAAAGTAAAATTGGATCCCCAATATTAAGGTTGGCAGTGTGACGAAGGTAGTATGCGACGGCACGAGCTTGACGATATAATTCAGCGTAAGTAATTTTAGCTTCTTCTCGAACGTTAACATCAACCCATGAAAAAGCAACTTTATCAGGAAAGCGCTTTGCGGCGAGACGTAATACGATTCCCCAATTTGTAGTTGAAGCAGGGGTAACATCAAATTTTGGACGGATTGGTAAATGGAGAATTTCTTGAGAATTGGACATTGAAGGATTGAAGAAACGATGAACGAGATCTTTACTATAAGAGATGCAATTTTCTGTAAGTTCAAAATCAAGCCAGCCACCGACATAGAAAGTTCCATCCTGTCCTTGCATGTTCTCTACTTTGCTATAGAAACCCCTAGCCATGCTAAGTGATGAAACTATAATAAAATAATAATAATAATGATAATATAATAATATAAGAATATAATAATATAAGAATATAATAATATAAGAATATAATAATATAAGAATATATAAGTTTTTGGTGGTCACGTGATACGAGTAATATAGCTGATAGTATAAATGAATTTTACCATGAGGGAAGAAATCCCAACGTTGATTATAATGAATCTCCTTTAATTCGCCACCCATTTTGATTAAATCATCTTTAAAGATTTCTGTAACTCGTTCTTGGTCAATCTCCCTACTACCGTAAGCATAAAATAAATATGTATGTACACCTTCGTAAGCACAATAATATGCAGTAACATGTCCAACGAAATCCTTAGAGCTGCAATGTTTAGGAATTGTAGTCATTCCAACTTTTGTAGGCAAACCTTCCACAGTCGCAATTATTGTATAATAATCAAATGTAATTATTTGAGAAAAAAGATGGGTTTCAAGAGGGGAGGGGGTATCAAGAAATTGAACGGTTTGTCGAGGATTAGTGGCAATTATGATTTGGTCGAATGCAAGGGTCTGAGAGAAATTGGAACGGGTATTTTGAGTGGTGATGAGAATCGGACCGAGATTTCGGCTTTTGAGAGAGCGGTCAACAGATATTACTTTAGCATCACATATAACATTAAGATCCTATATAAACCAATATAATGGATGTGTCACATGATGAAAAAGACCATAGATGATTTAAGTATATTTTTTAAAACATACCTTAGCCATTTTGATCCAGAAATCCTGAAAACCATTTTTAAAACGCCAAATAGTATTTTCCGAATTTTGAATAAATTTTAAGAAATATGCAGCAGGTATATCATCTTGAATATAACCATAACCAGCAGAGGTATAAGCCAAAGCCCAAGCATCTTTCAGATACTCTAATTTTCGATCTTTCAAGTATTGAGTAATGGGCGCATATAGATGACTTTCGCTTAGATCACCATGACCAGGTAAGGTAACATTTTCAAAAAACTTTTTTTCCTCTAAATAATGAGACATGTTTTTTGTGAAAGAATCGGAAATAATTCCAATATGGCAAACATTTTCGATCATAAGTTTATTTGCATCAATGTCCAAAGCACCACAATAAAATTTTTCGAGAGGACAATCAAGTTCAGCCGCAATGGATTTGACTAGTGAATAGTTGTTACCGACCATCAAAGCACCAACATCATAACCACGATTATCATGGTAAAAAGTAGAACTTTTTCCCGCTATATGGGGAGCGGATTCCAGTAGCGTCACATTTGAGTAGCCTTCTCTACGTAAAAAGTGAGCGACTGAAATACCCGCTGGACCAGCCCCAATTATGGCTATACGGGAGGAACGAGAAATTGGAGACTGTGAAGAAGTTACTTTGATTGACGACATTTATTTTGAGAGGTATATAATTCAGAGGAGATTAAAATTATTTGAGAGAGGAAAGTTTTTGCCGAAAAGGCGTAAACGAGAAAGAGGTTTTACGTAACAAAAAGGAAGGGAATAAAGAAAAAGGAGGGCCTAATTTTTCTGCGGCGTCAAAAATTAAGAGGTTTCGAAGTCTCTCGAATTATTTTTGAGGTGACAATTGACAGATCAAACAGGAACGTTTATTGTCGTAAAAGTCTTGCAAAAAAAATAGGCTCCTTTTATCGAATTTCTTCATTAAGTAACAGATAAGAGAGAGAATTGTATTTTAAAATTTTTTTTCAGAATATAATGGCAATTAGTTTTTATACGATTTACATAGTTAACATTTACACTGCAATCTGCTCTTCTGTACATAATAAGTATTTTTTAAACGGTACGAACAATTATTATTATTTATCTCTTACAATCCTTCAAGTATAAGTAACGTAATTCATCTTTGAAGTACATATTATTTCCTTTTAATTGTGTTTATTATTAATGTATTGTCTTTTCATATTGTCATTTAAATAAGGAAAATTTTGCATGTGTAACTATCAAGAATAATCAAACGGTAAATGAGTCGATCATTTGAAAGATCCACCTTATTGGTAATGGTAATGAATTAATGTTATGCGTTTTGCTTTAAATAAAATACCAAGTATATCGATATTAAGAAATTTTGCTAAAGGTATAATCGCGATTATCTGTTAACTGATATTAAATAAAAAGAGATATAAAAATTTGAGAGAGAGAGAGATATATATATAGATATACAGTATATAATATGATATATAATATGATAATATGATAATACACTCGATTAAATATCTATTCTACGCCGCTGATATAACTGTTTTGGGGGTTATTTCATATCATTACCTTTAGTACCTCGTACCTCTCGTACCTCGAAAGTTATTTGTGAATCAAGTTGTATTGTGTCTGGTATCGATAAGGGTCAGCAGAAATATACTAAAAACATTCTTGCTCGTGATATATACAAAGAAGTACGTACATACATAGTTTTATGAAAGAATCTATCGAAAGAAGTATATGCCTACACTTGAATAAAGTTAAATAAAGTATTATAAGTATTATCGCTTAAAAATGATACTTAGACCAATCAGTTACGAAAGTCCATATTTATTATGCTTTATTATGCCGTAAGACGAAACATAAACAAACCTAAATACAAATGTTGTAAGAATAATATTAATTTTTGTGATTTGAACAATGACTCTCCTACCTTATATCGATAGGTATAGCTAGTGGAAATTCAAAGACAATGCTACTTGAAATAACTTTTCTATCGTACGTACGTACAGTACGTCATATGTACAGAACATTCAAAAGGGGCCGGATCACAATTGGTCAAATTATTATTTTTTTTGAATATTAATGGTGAGACCAATTGGTCAAATTATTCACATGCAAAAGTTTTGATTTTTAAAATAAATTAAATAATATATTATCTGATCAATCGTCGATCGATCATGGCATGGTATTATTAGCCAACCCGATTTTTTGGTTCGCCCAAAAACCCAAAACTTACTAAACTTACTACGTATAGAGTAACGAAACTTTTAAACATTACCTACCGCTACTGTGTACTTATTTGCCCCTGTAACACGAACCTTATTTAAGTAAAAGTGTTAGATGAAACTTTGCATACGTATAAAAACAACTTTAGTTTTTACGTACCCCTTACTCTAACCACTAATCTTGAATTTTATTAACTACGTATATACAACTACATACACATATTTTATTATAATTTCCCTTCTTTGGTTTGTGTTACAGGTGCAGCAAAGGTAAAGTGCAAATCTGACTACTCAGTAGTTAACCAATCAAAAAAGTGGATAACGGACCTGCTAGGAAAGAGTGAAAATGTTTATATGAATCGATAAATGTATATTATGTATTTAAAAAAAAAAATCATCTTTATGCCAGATTATAAAAGATACACAGAATATAAAAAGAACGTATTTGCTATCCACTATGCATTCTAATATCTTCGAACACAGATCTTGATCTTTCACCACAAATAACGCTAATCTAATTTTGACGGAAATGGATATTGAAAATAAGTGGAGTTAAAAGATTCTACTTCTATTTTTAAAAATTCGACTCAGTGAATTAAATAGAGAACACATTAATAAAATTTCTACGTACCCGTAAACTATTATGTACGATTATGTAAACGATTAAATATACGTTAACGTTAAGAAATGATTTATGTATCACATATTTGACGTAAATACAGAATACGTCACTTATTTGAAATTGAAACCACTCCCATTTCGTTTTCCGATTTCAGACTCCCATTTATTTCAAATACGTTATTAGGGGGGTTTCAGAATTAACGTGCGGAAATCTAATTTTGACAAATAGATAACGTATTTATCTTCAAATGAGCGATATTTCATTTTCCGGTAAATTTGCAATAATAATTTTTGTCATTGAAAAGTTTATTTATTTCGTTCATTTTCCGATTTCAAAATTTTGATATACAAATAAGATTTTTAAGTTCCTACTTATTTTCGAAATACGCTATTTTTTTTTTTAATTCTGAAACCCCTCATTGTTTTGTTTTTTTAATTCTGATACCCCTTAACTGTTAATTCAGTAATTGAAATGTTAGTACGTACGTAATAAAGTTTATTTGAATATAACTCGATATTAACCTTTAACTAAACATTTCCGGTTTTGTACGTACGTTATCAATGATTGTGGTGAGTACATACGTGTGTACGTAATAAAGTTTATTTGATATGTAATAGATATTAACCTTTAACTAAACATTTCCGGTTTAGTACTGTACGTTATCAATGATTGTGGTGAATTTTTTGTTAGTGAGCTTTATATAAATTACCCGGGCAAACTATGTACGTATAACAATAATACATATACGTACAGTACGTACGTAATCGTCATCATCCGTATTTTGATAACTTAATATGCTACGTACAAAGTATTTAGCGTGTCTTTTTTCATATTTCAATTTCTTATACGTACGTACGTACGTACGTACATACGCTATAGAAAATCATTTCCAGAAGTAAATTTTCCTAACTTGGAACGGTCCTACCTTATCACAGTACCACCTCTGGTAAAGATAAATAAGATCTAGTCCCAAATTTGGTTTTGCAATCTGAAAATCATGGCACAAGAAAAAAAAGATTCGTCAGAACAGCTACCAGTTGCAATTATTGGCATTCGCGATCAATACGCTAGATCAATAATTATTAATTCTCTTAAAAATATCGCTCCACAATTTCTGCATTACACCCTCTTGTCGGCACCAAGTTTTCTTGATGTTCCAATTCTTTACTGGTTAGAATATGAAGACATCGACTTCTCTCAAATCTTCTCGAATACTAACCCTCTTTTAGTAAATTCTTACTGCATCAGAAAGGTATCCCAAATTTATAAAATGATTATAAAATGATTATAAAATGATTATAAAATGTTAAAATGTTTTGTTTTAATTAATCTCTTCTCATGATTCATTATATATCTAAAGGGCCTTATAAGAAAAGCTCAAATGAATTTTATTATTCAAAAGCATGTTGCAAAATACCCAAATTCTTGCTTAAAAAAAGCTACTCCTGAGACCTGGTTTTTTGAAATTGATCATGTAGACTACTTCGATGAAGCTCTAGATGAGATTTTTGAAGTTGTTCAAGAATGCAAAGAAAATGTTTCACGAGAAAGGATGCATAATTTCATCCTAAAACCAAACCTGGGCAATAAAGGTGCTGACTTAAAAATTTTTCATACCATAGATCAATTAAGGTCTGTTTTTGATGTAACCCATGAGGAAAAATCTGTCAATATTGACGAAAATTTATTACAACTTGATGATGTTGATGAAAGTATATTTCATCTACGTGAATGGGTCATACAACGATACATTTCCAACCCACTTTTGATAAATGATCGAAAGTTTCATATTCGCGCATATGTTCTTGCTGTATCAAAAATCAAAGTTTACCTTTATAAAGATATGCTAGCTCTTTTTGCTCTTCATCCTTATAGATCAGATGACATTAATGATACTCTTGCTCATTTAACAAATACGTGCTTACAAATACATGATGAATCGTTTAAAGAATCTGATCAAGTTAAATTATTTTGGGAATTGATGTATCATAATTCGGTGATCGATGAGCAAGATTTAATTTCAATATTCGAGCAGATTAAGAATATTCTTGGTGAGTGTTTCAAAGCTGTGGTGAGCGAAGTGACACAATTCATGCCATTGGAAAATGCATTTGAACTATTCGGATTTGACTTCTTAGTTGATGCAAACAAAGATGTTTATTTGCTGGAAGCTAATTCTGTAGGTTTAAACTAATAAATTAGTTCAATTATTTGAAAATATTAATTTTTACCTAAAACTCTTTTTGCAAATTAGTTTCCTGATTTTAAGCAAACGGGTAATAGACTTTCGCATGTAATTTCTCACTTATTTGAAAATACTATAAAGTTAGCGGTTATTCCATTTTTCAAGAAACTACAGGATCCATCTATTAACCAAAATCAACCATCAGATGAAACAGATTCAAAATTTTGCCTAGTGTTTGAAAATTAAAACCTTAGATAAACGTAGTATTTTCTATGGTACATGTGAATTAAAAATTGGAATTTTTTTAATTTAAAATAACCCTTTTTGAAAACTGTGTATACATACAGTTTAAATGTTTAAAAACAGAATCTTTTTACAAGTTGAAATCAAAACAATATTCTTACTAATAAAATCTGAGACGGTTATATTATATTAGAAATTAGTTTATCAAATACAGTCAGGAAGAGTTTAGAATTAGAAAGATTTTTTATAGTTACGACTCAGTTTTATATAAAAACGTAAATGTATATCCCTTAAAACGTCCCATTCTAGCGTTCAAATTTGAACACTAAAGTAATTTGTAGTAAAGTGCATTTTTATTAAGTAAACAAGTCTTTATATATATTTAGAGAATACAAACTAGCTATACCTGTATTTTTTTGAATACTTATTTAAGTAGTCTGCCTATCACTAGATTTTATACTAGATGCTATACTTGCAAGCCTTCTACTTAAGTTATTTATTTAAAACACTTTATAGCTATTGTATATACTCTAAGATCTAATTAATCAGCTACTAGAACTCCATTTTAAAGATAAATACAAGTCACTCTTATTATAGTAAACTCTTGTTATCTCTTAAACTGTCAGGTTTAGTGGCAAATTTGAATACTAAAATTTAAAAACAGTTATATCTGATTTAATTTTATTAAATATTAAAATTTTTTAAAAAAATTTTATATACTAATATTTAAAAATAAGGATTACAAAATAAAATTTAGTAATATTTATTTTTAATGGATTAGATTTACTAATTGTATTAAATCTAATACATTTAAAAAAATTGATTAAAATTTTTAAAAAATATATACTTAAAAAATTTTTATATAGGTCAGCTATTGTGGATATAGAAAGCTTTAGCAGATTTACCTTGAAGATAAAGAGTTCTAAAGAGTCTGTTTTAAAGTTTTAAGTTGGGTATCTGAAAATAAGAAGATATTAAATACTCTTGCTTGGTTAGATAATTAATATATATAGGCACAGAGAGTTTAAATAGATAATCCTATAGTTGGGTTATAGATATGACATCTAGTATAAAACTTAGTAATAAGCAAATTACTTCAATAGATAACCAAAAGTTGCATGTGTAGCTAGTTGTATTCTTTAAATATGTATATAGTATATTATATTGTAAAAGTTAACAATAATTGAATAAAAGAAAAGTGACTAAGAGGTCACCTTAATACTAAAAAAAAAATAGTTTTTTGGTATTAAAGTGACCTCTTGATTATATGTATTTTATTACTTTCAGAAGTTGTTGTATATATATTTTAGCCATACTTGTATCTTTTGAGCACCTAATTTAAATAATCTGCCTATTACTAGGTTCTATACTAAATGCCATACCTATAATCCACCTATTATTTGGATTATCTAATTAAACTCTCTGCACCTATATATATTAAAACCTATGGTAATCAGTTCTCTTTGTCATAGTCTATGACCAGTTACCTGGGCTCTTTGTTTATATGATAACTTAAGACTTTAAAGTAGATCACCATCTCTTTATTAACCTACTCCTGGTTCTTTATTCTTGAAATAAACCTGGCAGAGCTCGCAGTATTTCTACTCTTACCATATAATTTATAACCTGCACTTCAGTTAGTATACACAGATTATGACGCACCACTTGCAGCTTAAGTTTAATCCAATCTAAGATTATTGTGATATTAGATTGAGACTTTTTATCTATAGTTTTTGTTCATCTAGTTTAAACTTTCTTTTATTTTTATCTCTTTTGAACTCCAGTTTAGCTTAAACTCTATTATCTAACCTACTTCTGCCTATATAGAGTTTATTTAAACTCTAAAACTTACTTTATAGTATATTTTCAGTACTTTAGTAATATCTGCTTCCTTTTCCTAAACTCCTAATCCAGATAGCCTGGTTTGTGCACTTATTTTCCTTTAAGTTTATTGGCAGCCTAGTTGGTATTAGTGATTTCACCTGTTTGTTTTATTGGACTACCAAGCTAGATAGCCTAGTTGCTTGTACTTTTCATCTGTATCTAAACAAATATCCACTTAATAGTGCAGCTTAATAGGTTTTATATTGGTGTTCTGAAGAGCTCTTTAGCTAGATTGATCAGTTCTAGTTTATTTACAGTAGTTTAATTGGTATAGATGCTTCTCTAACACCCTGTCTCTTGTCCAGATCAGTTCATCTGAGTTTAATCTTTATAACAGCTCTGTCAAAGATATGTACTACTTCTCTTACTCAGGTCTTGCTAAGCAAGCTTTCGTATTCATAATTCTTTGAATTTACACAGCCTAGAAGTTTATTTTATATTTGTACTATCTATTAACAGTTTGTATTTCTTTATGTAATATTCTGTTGTATGAATACTCTAGACCTTCTAGTCTTGCTAATGTAACTATAGCTATAGATATCCTATCTCAACTAATTGACTGAATACAGTTTAATTATAATGCAAACAGAATTTTTAAATTTTTATTATTAGTGAGATTTGAACTTTTAATTTGCCACTTGGGGGTAACAATTTGACTATTTTACTATGTTGTCACATCTTAAAAATAGCTTTAATTAAATCATTAGTTATTGAGAAAACATTATACTTAACTAATCAATAGATTGTTATTTTTAAGACAACTAAAGATGCTAATCTAGAAAAGAGAATCCTTCATTTTACTCATCTTAGAGATAACAAAATTATTACAGAATAGAAAGCAGCTTCCAAAGTTTGTTATTTTTGTAATCAAGAAAAGTATATAAAAAAAATGAGTTTAATTTAAAGAATCAGTTGTTTTAAAACAACATTACTAAAAATTTAAAAAAGCTGCTAAGACAAAAAAAGTAGATAAACTTAGTAAAATTGCTTAAGAAAAAGAAAACATCTAGAAA